GCTTCCTTCTTCGAGGACAGGTGGCCAGGAGGGCGGGCGGGCAGGCACCTGGTCTGACGCACGGCCCCCCCGTCCTCTCCTCAGCTTGCCTGCCCTCGGGCTGCCCGCCATCAGCGAGGGAGGGGGCCGGGAACGGGGAAGAGGGGCAGGGTGAAGGAGCGAGCGGGCAGTGGGGAGGAGGAGGGGGGTCGTCTGCGTTGCCACTGTTGCGTTGCCGTTTGGCGAGGAGGCGAGGAGCGTAGAACACCTGCCACTGCTTCGGTTAAAATCCCCCCGGGTTGCAGCCCTTGCTCCAGGAGGCCACGGGGCAGCCCGCGATCCTCGACGGCAGGTTTCCTCAACGTCTTGAGCACGTGTTAGCTGAGTCTCGGCGTAGTATATGGTTCCAGGTTGGACAAGCGGAGAAGAGGGCCATTGCGCTGACGGGCTCAGGGCCAGGGGATTCCCTGGCGGATTTTTGCTACGGAGTGCTGTTCAGCAAAGTGTCAGGGAAGATCAGGAAAGAACTGCTTGCGGCGAGTTTGCTGTACAAGATCCCACCCGTGTCTGAAGTGGATCGCGTCTTTACGCCCAGCTCTGAGCCTGAGGGAGGACACTCGGCCGATACCACATACGATGCTGACGCCAATTTTTAAACTGTTTGCGATTGTAATGACAAGATTGAGGATGCGATCAGGAAGGCCTTTGTCACTATTGTAAGTAAAGCTGCGGCGCATGATCTGTCTATCTATTTTGTGGTCGAACAATCTCATTTTTTTTGAAGGTTTGTGGTGCCAGCACGAGGTTTCGGACACAGGAAACCTTTATCGACCAGAAAGGAATGATTGCGCTCCCTCAGCTCGAAGTGGGCATCCAGGCTGTCCCGTCCCAGACTTGCCCGGGAAGAAGCCGCGCGCTGCAAAACGGATGCTGCTGTGGTGGGAGCTATGGCAAGATCGATACACAACCTGAACCGTGTCAGTCGTGAGGCGAGACTGCGTCATCATACTTGCCTTATGGAGGCATCGCTGTTCAATGCTGCTGAAATGTGGCATGAGTTGCCCAGCAAGTCCCCGCGTAAGCTTGCTAGTTCGTACATTGGCTCCATCCGTGAGGCTCTTGATGTGAAAGAAGCTCGAGGGGTATGCCAGAAGGTCGGAGGCTAGGGCCATGCTTCTCAGTAGCATTCAGGCTTCGAGACTGCCGCTGAACTTCTGTCCGGTCGTGCCACCAGTGGCCCTGGCGCCCCTGGAACCTCGGGCTCTGGCGCTGCAGGCTCTGCTGGAACACCAGGAACGGCAGGGGCTGCAGGAGGCTCGGCTGGTCCTTCCTGTGCTGGAGATGTCTGCCGAGCAGCTGCGGTCGCTGGCGCCGCTTAGGGCGCTGCCCATGCCCTCGGTGCTGGCGATGCCTCTGGAGCCGCAGTGGCTTGAAGCCACGTGCATTCGGCTGTGCATGAAGTGCCCCTGCTGCTAACCCATGCCATCGTCGCCTGCAGGCCCGGCAGATTTGCACCTCGGTGGCGAGCGCGCGCATGGCCGCGTCCCTGACCCTGACCGGGGCGCGACAGATACGCGCTGTATATACTGCGGCAAGAGCGGTTCGCTACGTGCCTTGACCGCCTGTCTCCTGGAGATTGGCATGCTGGCCCAGGCGCTGACAAGCTCGCGATGTGTCTGTGAGATGCGCAGCGCTCTTGAACGTCGCCCTCTTTCGAATCGGCAAGCGCCAATCCTGGCCCCGAGCGCCGCGAGCGCATCGGCCCGTCGCGCCGTCGTGCAACCCGCGTGCGGGCCTCTCCGGTGGATCCCGGAGGTCAGACTTGGATGAGATCGCCAACTTATGGGTTTCTTCCACGGTGAGATAACATCCTCTGTTATTCGTCGCATGCGCGTGCGTGCTGACAGTCCAGCTCAGTAGTGGGCGTTCGTGATCTCGGCGTTCCTCCAATCCCGCTGGCTCCACGCAGCTGACCGACTGCGGCCGTGGGGGACAATGGTATCCTAGGCAAAACATTGTCGAATACCCTGACCTGGCTCCATCGTGAATTTCTGATGATCCTGTCGGTGTAGAGCCCAGCCGAAACGGTAGTCCAGTGGCGGCGCGGCGGCGAAGCGATTGCGACATGCGGCGCAGGAAACTCACAAGGTGCCCGAGAAGGCTTCCATCATCAACATCATGTTTGCAACAACTGGCTCCGCGCACCGCATGGGTGCACTGACATGTTCAAGTCGGGCCACTGTTAGTCGCGATGTCGAGTGGAACCTCTCGGGCGCAAAACTGTGCTCTCGAGACGTCCACTGACATTCAGCGCGGTCCAAGTTGCTTGGCCAGTTGTCTTCTGCTTATCGCGCGCCGTTGGAACTCCTCGATTGATCGAAGAACTCGCTGGCGCCCTGATTCTCGCGTGCTCCATGGGCCTGCTTGCTTCCGAAAGTGGCTGGTTAAGATCAACTGCGTTGGTGGTGATGCCATTGCTAGCTTTGAAATCTCACTCTGGTCCAGCGCTTCGGGGTGCTCTGCTTGGCTGGCTGTCAGATGCAATTCCAGCTTTGCAGTTGTTCCGTGAGAAATAGGCGCGCAGCTTGGCGATGCGTGCTTCGACCAGGCACGCCATCTCCATCGCTGTCTGGGCCGCCAGCGTGGTGACATCGTCCACGGGAAGCAGGAAGTGCCCAGGATCCGCCAGCAAAACTCGCGCTGCTGCTGGAAGTTTACTGTCTGGGGCGAACGCCGACGTGCTCTCGCCACTGTCGCAGGCGTCCTCGAGCGGGGTGCACTTCTGCTTGCGCGCGCTGCTGTTCGGTGGCAGTCCGGGGCGCGCAATGCTGGGCCCCCCCGATCAAGTCCGCCGGATATGTCGCCCCTGGCTGCGCCCCTTCGACCAACGTGGGCCCTGAACGCCAGGTTTGCCACTGATGCCAGTGAATGAGGCGCTAAGGGGCTGAACCTAATATGAAAGGCCGCGAGGCGCATGTATGTCACGCGTCCCTTCCAGCAGAGTCTGTGTTACAAGAAGACCTTCAGGTGCGCCTGGATCGACGATGGGTCCATGTCTAGGTCGTTCTGTAACGGTGCGCAGCGCATGTAAAGGCCAACCTCATCCGCCATGTAATTGCCTGTCTCATGATGTAGAAATTAACTGCTCCAAATGTGATGACTCTGCTGAAACCCCGACTGCTTGATAGCGTTCCCCATCTGCTGACGAGCAATTGTCTGATCGATTGCGGGACCTATCTTGCAACTGGTAATGCCTGACCGCATGACCACCATGGCATACTGTTTTGCCATCTTCTGTGCCGGGGTAAGATGCGAACGACCGCTGGGTGAGCTGGACTTCGTAAGCGCTCCTCGCAATCGTGCTCGATGCTGTCGTCCAGATGGCATTCAGATTGCATCTGTGACGAAGCTCCATAGAGCGATGGTCGATGTACTTTCGTTCGGTCTGGCCCGTCACCGATGGTAGATTCCGATGGAGGTGTCTGCGACTCTTTCGTGTCTCACCCTGGCAAGGCTCCGGGACAGTCCAAATAAGAATGCTCAATATCTCGCTGTATCGGAATAGCGCAGTCCGTGTACGTCATCGGCGTGGAGGACGACGTGCCGACATCAATCCAAGATCCAGGAGGCCTCGTCAACGTCGTTGGTGCTGTAGCCGATGATGCAGATGCTGCCGCGGTAGCAAATCCAATGGCGATAGCAAAACGGCGTGCTTTCCTATTGCCACTGCTTTTGCCTTTGCCAGTGATGCGGCTGGGTTGCTGTTGAGGCTGTTGGCTGCCTTCAGTACCCTGGCCATCCTTAGATGGGCATGATGCTGCATTCTGCCACTTGCTGCCATATGTCGTGCATCCTCCGTGTCGCTGACCTGATCCTCCCCTACGATCGTTTCATCCTCCACTGTTTTTGCTCGACCTTTCCCCTTTCTCCTGCTCCTTAAAGAACTCGTCGTCTGACAACTTTTCCACGTCCTTTGCCTTTTCGTTTGTTTCCTCGACCCCTGCCTTTCCCGAAGTAAATGCCGCTGGCTCTGTAAGCCTCGTAAACGTTGCAGAATGGATCTAGAATCGCGCCTGCTCTATCTTGACCATGAAGCTCATGGGTGGCCTTCTGCTGGTTGAATAACATCATGATGCCTCAAACAAGGTCGGCCTCGACTGGTGGTAGGGCGACTGCGTTATTTCCTGGGTCGTGTATGCCGTCTCGAACTTGAATGAATGGCATGGCTGCGGTGAGGTGGCGTTCCCTGAAGGCGTGAGGCGATCAAAATGCCAATCCTATCATACTGCTGCTCAACTGTGATTTTCAACCGTAACTTCAGCTTGTGCATATATCACCGCAGCGTGCTTCACTGGATATGAGCCCGCCATGCTGGCGGCACGAACATAGTAAATTCCTGAATGTTCCGGTTGCCGTGCTGCTGGTGCCCCGTGGAAGCGCTGAAAAAGATCAGTCAGGTGAAAAGCAATATTGAAATTCACAGACGGCTCTCAGTACATTCCGTAGATCTAGCGTTGTCGCCTTGTTGCGGTACTTGGTGCACAGCTGGTCTCTGCGGCTTTGCTGGTACCCGTCGACTGTGTGGTCGTCGACCTTCTGCACGATGATACAATGTACGTGATAGCTCCCTGGCGGAGGCGCGCTCGCGCCCGCTGGGGCGCCTGGAGGCCAGCTGGTCGGGGGGGCCTGCGGAACACTACCTCTACTACCAAAGCGAATTTCTGGTAGCCTTAAGCCCGTCTGTCGAATCACGGGCAGAAAAATGCAGAGGAACCCAAGAAAGGGCGGGGGCCCGCGTCCAGCGTGGCGTCCTGAGGGGACCTCAATATGGCCTCTGAAATCCACGGTGTCAACCTCACTATGACATGCAGTACAGGGGTCACAGTCTCACTGGAAGAGGAGGAGGAGGAACATGGAGGAGGAGGAGGAGGAGGAGGAGGAGAAAGAAAAGGAACAAAAGGAAGCGGAGGGAGGAAACGCATCAGCAACAGCAGCAGCAACAGCAGCAGCAAGTCGTCGTCCTCCAAGCCGCACCCCCCCGCGAGCAGCCGCGCGAGAAAGCCCCCGGCGAAGGCGTCGCCGGCGCCGTTGGTGTCGGCGACGCTGGCCGCAGTAAGCTCGGGGACCTATGGAAGGCGGATGTGAGGATCGAGGATCGAGTTCGAAGATCGAATTCTCCTGAAATCTGGGCGTTGCAATTTTTCACACTGAGCGTTTCAACTCGGGTTCGGGCACCGGGACGATCTCAGATCGATCCGGCTAGAAAAATCCAGCAGAAAAAATTGGTCCAAGGATCTGGTCGCTGTTTTTCACGATGTTGCATGTTTCGAAGGGGTCCGTTTCCATGCGACATCGCGCGCTCCGCCTCCTAATCAGCTGGTGCTAGGGTCGGATCTGGCGCCCACGCGCCAGATCCATGGATACGTACCGAGTCGATGTTGCACGGTGCCCGAATCTGACACGGGGGCCGCTTCGAAGCCCTGCCGGTCTTCCTGAGGAAGCCTCCTTCGTGGTTTTTCAAAATGTCCTCCCTTTCCGTGACGTCGGATCTCAGGGTTGGGAGGTTCAATCGAGGATCGAACCTCGAGCTTCGAGGGGCGGCCGCGGGGGATCGAGGATCGAGCTTCGAGGATCGAAGTGTGAGGGTCGAGGCTCGAAGATCGAGTCGAAGCTCGGAGCTTCGAGGATCGAGCTTCGAGGATCGAGCTTCGAGGATCGAACTTCGAGGATCGAGGCTCGAGCTTCGAGGCTCGAGTTCGAGGGTTCGAAAGTGTTGGGCCACCGCTGGCTGGGGCAACGCTTTTGCCCGTTGTCGGCCTCCGGGTGCCCTGACTCGACTGGCCCCAGGACAGGTCCACAACAACTGGCCTTGGGGGGGAGCCCCGGGGGAAGGGGCCGAAGCCTCTGGGACCAGGGGCCGAGGATCGAGTTCCCAGGACCGAGACTCGAGTTTCGAGACTTTTTTTCCAGGGCTGAACCTAAACAGTGTTTTCGTTTTCGTTTTGTTTTCGTTTTCCCTCGTTTTGTCTTCAATCCGCCTTTCACGCAAAGCAAAATCGAAACGAAAACGGCCCACGAAATCGCCAAAACACCGTTTAGGTCCACCCCTGTTGTTTCCCAACCCTCCTGTGTTGGGTACTCGTTTTGAAAAGAGCAGTATGGTCGCCCCGTCCTTCCTTCTTTCCTTCTCCTCCCCTCTTCTCCCCTCCTCCTTCTCTCCTGTTTCCGGTGTTCCCTTCTCCTCTACCATCGTGCCGTCGGGCTGCGATCTGCGCAACTGTCGCCACTTTCGTGGGCTCCTGGGAAGCCCAGCGGAGGTGGGTCCCACGCGGATCACCTCGGTACCTCGCTGCCCCTTTGGGGGGCTTGCGATCTGCGCAACTGTCGCCACTTTCGTGGGCTCCTGGGAGGCCCAGCGGAGGTGGGTCCCACGCGGATCACCTCGGTACCTCGCCGCCCCCTGGCGGACTTGCGATCTGTGCAACTGTCGCCACCTTCGTGGGCTCCTGGGAAGCCCAGCGGAGGTAGGTCCCACGCGGATCACCTCGGTACCTCGCCGCCCCCTTTGGGGGGCTTGCGATCTGCGCAACTGCCGCCACTTTCGTGGGCTCCTGGGAGGCCCAGCGGAGGTGGGTCCCACGCGGATCACCTCGGTACCTCGCTGCCCCCTGGGAGGCTTGCGATCTGCGCAACTGTCGCCACTTTCGTGGGCTCCGCGCGGATCACCTCAGTACCTCGCCGCCCCCCCTGGGGGGCTTGCGATCTGCGCAACTGTCGCCACTTTCGTGGGGCTCCTGGGAGGCCCAGCGGAGGTGGGTCCCACGCGGATCACCTCGGTACCTCGCTGCCCCTTTGGGGGGCTTGCGATCTGCGCAACTGTCGCCACTTTCGTGGGCTCCTGGGAGGCCCAGCGGAGGTGGGTCCCACGCGGATTACCTCGGTACCTCGCCGGCCCCTGCGCAGATCGCAGCCCCCCAAGGGCGGCGAGGTCCCGTGGTGATCCGCGTATGAGGTACCTCCGCTGGGCCTCCCATGAGCCCACGAAAGCGGCGACAATTGCGCAGATCGCAGCTCCCCACGGGCGGCGAGGTCCCTTGGTGATTCGCGTATGACGTGCCTCCGCTGGGCCTCCCAGGAACCCACGAACGTGGCGACAATTGCGCAGATCGCAGCCCCCCAAGGGCGGCGAGGTCCTGTGGTGATCCGCGTAGGACTCACTTCCTCTGGGCTTCCCGGGAGCCCACGAAAATGGCGACAATTGCGCAGATCGCAAGCCCCCCCAGGGGGCGGCGAGGTACCGAGGTGATCCGCGTGGGACCTACCTCCGCTGGGCCTCCCAGGAGCCCACGCCAGTGGCGACAATTGCGCAGATCGCAAGCCCCCCAAGGGGCAGCGAGGTACCGAGGTGATCCGCGTAGGACTCACTTCCTCTGGGCTTCCCGGGAGCCCACGAAAATGGCGACAATTGCGCAGATCGCAAGCCCCCCCAGGGGGCGGCGAGGTACCGAGGTGATCCGCGTGGGACCTACCTCCGCTGGGCCTCCCAGGAGCCCACGCCAGTGGCGACAATTGCGCAGATCGCAAGCCCCCCAAGGGGCAGCGAGGTACCGAGGTGATCCGCGTGGACCACCTCCTGCTGGCTTCCCAGGAGCCCACGAAAGTGGCGACAGTTGCGCAGATCGCAAGCCCCCCAGGGGGCCGCGAGGTACGAGGTGATCCGCGTGGGACCCACCTCCGCTGGGCCTCCCAGGAGCCCACGAAAGTGGCGACAATTGCGCAGATCGCAAGCCCAGCGGGCTCCCGGGAGGCCCAGCGGAGGTGGGTCCTACGCGGATCACCTCGGTACCTCGCGGCCCCTTTGGGGGTTGCGATCTGCGCAATTGTCGCCACTGTCGTGGGCTCCTGGGGGGCCCAGCGGAGGTACGTCATACGCAGATCACCATGGGACCTCGCCGCCCCTGGGGGGTCTGCGATCTGCGCAACTGTCGCCACTTTCGTGGGCTCCTGGGAGGCCCGGCGGAGGTACGTCATACTCGGATCACCACGGGATTTCTTGCTGCGCTCTTCTGAAAGCATTGTTGGGTGCTCTTTCTGCACACTGCGGGTCCTTCAGAATTCCAGTCAGCATTGAGCGGTCCTGAGTATCATCGCCACATGTATAGAAAGGGTTGGGTACGCCACAGGGTAATTTCCCCCCTCAGGCACAGGCCGGGACCCAACTTTGTCTGGATGGCTGTCTTGCCACATCAGCCTCTGTTGCAGTATAGGGAGGCGAGCGCACCCCTGGGAAGTTTCGAGACTCGTTTGGGCACTCTTCAGATTGGTTGCGCCTCCCCCGGGGGGGGGAGGCTTTTGCCGCTGCGGCTGGGGCTGGGCCCCCCCGGGAGATTCCAGGCAGACCGCGCACCGGGACAGGTCCAGAGCAGATTTCATTGGCTCAGCGGCCCAGGCAGGCGGCGCGCAGGAGGGGGCAAAGGGGTGAGGGGGACGGCCCTCTGCGAGGGTAGGAGGCCCCTTGGAGGGCCTACGCCCAACTCTCCGACAATTTTTTCGCGGGTGCGGCAAGCGGATCCAGCAATTGTTTGTAGATTTTGGTCCATGGGGCCCTTCATCGGGCCCCGCGACAGTCAAAATTGAATCCAGGGCGAAAAACTACCCCTGGGATAAGGGTCGGGAGCTCTGAGGCCACGGTCTGAAAAACTCACATCGAAGGATGTCTGGGGAAGTTTCCTTTGTTTTTGTAGGAGAAAAGGGAGGCGGACAACATGCTTCCACAGCTCACGCTGGCGGGATGAGGCCAGCGAGGTACGGCACGAGAGAGAAAACGGCTGCAAGGTCTGGGGAGGTTTCCGAAAGGGCTTCCTCAGAATGGCTGGCAGGGCTTCGAAGATGCCCTCTGCCTACTTAGAAGGCCGCCGCCCCCCCCCCCCCCTCCTGCGCGCCTGGGGTGGCTGGGGGCATGGGCAGATGTGGGGGGGCAGATTCGGGCACAAAGCAACATCGATTCGGGATTCGTGGATCTGGCACGTGGCCGCCAGATCCGCCTCCCAGCACCAGCTGATTAGGAGACGGAGCGCGCCGATGTTGCATGGAAGCGCGACCCTGCGAAAAGTGTAATATCGAAGCTCGAGATTCGATCCTCGATTGAATCTTTAAGCCAGAGATCCGACGCCACAAAAAAGTACAACACCTTGAACCATCACGAACGACGCCTCCTCAGGAAGGCAGGCGGGCTTCGAAGAGGCCCCCTGTGTCAGATTCGGGCACCATGCAACATCGATTCGGGATTCGTGGATCTGGCGCGTGGGCGCCATATCCGCCTCCCAGCACCAGCTGATTTGGAGACGGAGCGCGCCGATGTTGCATGGAAGCGGGACCCTGCGAAACATGAGACATCGCGAAAAACCGCGACCAATAGAGCCCTGGACCCCTCTTTCTGCTGCATTTTTTCTAGCCGGATCGACCTGTGATCAGAAAACTCAATCCTCGAACTCGATCTTGGATCCTCGCATCCGCACGCCTTAGGTCCCCGAGCTTCTTGCGCCATGGCCATGAGAAGCTGCAGCGCCTGGACCTCAGGGGATGGAGTGGCAGGGCCTGGGGCTGCGCACATCGACGCCTCCCAGGTGGGGTCGGAGGATCGCGCCGCATCGTCGATGCATCGGCGACGTCGGTGCAGAAGCGCGGGCTCCGCATCGAGCCGCATCGCCAACTCATCGGCGATGCAGCGCGCTCCTCGGACCCCCCAGGTGGCCCCGACCCCCTCTGGGAGGCCCGGGAGCACACGCGGCGCCCTCTGAGGTGCAGCCTCGGCTGGCCCCCGCCGGAGCCCCCAGGGTGGGGCAGCCCGGGGCGGCCTCGGCACTCGCGCGCCGCCGCTCCTCGTCCCAGAGGGAGCTGCCCCGGGAATGAGTCGAGGCCAGCCTTCGGCGGTCCAGACCGGAAGGGGCCCCAGGTGGAATCCCGCCAGGCCTCCGGGCGTGAGTGGTCCGGCGAGCTCGTTCTGCTAACCCCCTTCTTCCAGAAGTAGCATCTCGCAGAGCAGCTTCTAGTTCCCCCCCTTTTTCCCCCCTCCCCCCCTTTCAGACCCTCCCTGCCCCCTCCACTCCTGGAGTGCATGCATCTA